CACAACTGAGCCCAAAAACCAGGTGACATATGGCATTATCGCAAAGAAACTTATCGCAATAACGATCGACCGATCACAACAAATAAAAGACATTTCACGAAACTCAGAAAGATTCAACTCAACACTCAGAATTCCCTGATAACGATATGTGAATATCCAAAGCAGAGAGAGGCAAAAGAAGTCCTGAGGTCACTGAATTCAATCTGCTCCACCTCTGATCACTGTCAAATCAAGCGCGGCTCACGTACTGGTTTTTCAAGAGTCGTTTCAGCACCAACCAACCGCGTTTCGAAAACTCAGACTTTGCAAGAAAATAACAAAAACAAACCAAGATAAATATCCAAGAGCCTATAAGATTGTAATTCACACTCCTCAGAGGCTCGGTACGAAGAGGTCCCTTCTGCTTAAGTTCAGCATCTCTTATGGCCACTGCGTTAAGGTCTAAAAATCACTTTTGATCAACAAAGATTACACAGTGCATTAAAGAGCAAAAGCCATTTAAATAACTCATTCGATGTCTTGGAGAAACAAAGGCAATGACAGATAAAGTACAACAAGCTACTATGAAATTTAGCATCGGATAAACTACAGATGAAAACTTGTCCAACTGTAAGAAACGGCCGTTTAACAAGGATATAAGGAAAATCACCGAATGAACTATGTGCTCGTCTCCATACGGCGAATTCATCTACATAAAGTCCACAGAGTCAGTGAAAAGACTCAGTGTGCGATAATCACGCAGAATAGTATAGTGAAGAGTACGTTCAGTGTAGTCCACTACCTGCTTTTAGGTAGTGCATTTGGCAAGACGCAAGAACGACAGTCAAAATATTCATCTGGGAATTCTATAAGGGTCAATCACTCGACGGCCAATATCATTCCCCGAAAGAAATAATGGATAACATTTCATGCGAAAGAAGAACCATTAGTTGAAGTAGAAAAATATCAGAGAAATCACCTTCAGGAATGTAACGGGGCACTCTTGACCAATGCCATCCAAACTTTCGTGAGGGAAGTGACTGGGAAACTAACCGCTGGAAGGCTAAAAATCCTGGATTTAACCATTTCCAAACAGCGCTGCTACTTTCGAGGGAACATAGTATTTTAAACCGCTTGAAACCTCAAGCAAGGCTTTAAATCCCTTAATTATTCAAATGAATCAATTATTTCCATCATATGAGATAATGCTTTTACTTGAGTATTCATTTTTCAGCAAGTACATTCGATTAGTTAAAAACGAAAGCTTGTAACCGTTACATTCTTAAGCTTCGTCCCATGTTATCATTCGGACGGCGCGGATCTGCATTTATACGCTATGAAAAAATTGGTTCTTTATTTTAAAGCTATACTCAAGAGGAGCTACGTAGCAGACATACTGTGCAGCCCTGTTTCCCTTCCATTGAGCAGTGGTCAATACCAGAAGGAAGAAAGCCCAGTTATCTGGCCAGATGCGAACCACAGTCTTTTCCGTTTTGAGTCACAAGCTCCACCGGCTGAACAACGCCGCGCTGAGTCGAAGGATAACCGGAGACAGGAGAAATCATCTAAGTCCATAAACTATAGTACATATCCAGATGCAAACAGCTGTGTGACATCTCGTCTCCAAACGAGCCACTCCCTGCAGGGGGTCGAAACAAAAACATTTTAACTTCACCCGGACATACAATAAGCATAAAAACGGAATTACGATATCGGTTCATCATCTTACCGCCTTGTGTTTGATATAAACGTTCAAGGAAAAGATCATGTTCTGTTAATTTTGTTAATAAACCCAGGTTATCATTGGTATTTCTCGTTGGATGCAAAATTTAATAATCACTTACTAGTACTGGCTTCGACGAACTGTACGAGATGAAGAAAGTCCAAATTTTCCATGTCGTATCTGGTCACCGGCTTCGCGTTGTGAAATAAAATGACAGTCGGAGTGCCAGCCACGCCGTATATTAGGTTCAACCTACAACAGAATGCTATCTTAAAATAACCCCATTCAAATACATAATAGAGATTCTTGGCCAGAGCGAAAATTCAACCGACTAAGACTACGTTGTTAGTAAAAAACTCTCACCTCCAAGCATTCTGATGCGGAGGCTCACGTCTTCTCACTCACGCTCAGATTCAATTAGGTGAAACATCGCTGATTTACTTAGGCCACCGAGGTGCAGTGTTGGTCAGAATCACTATATACAATTGTAATAATATAAAACTAACCGCCCTCTTGCTTTGAGCCAGCTAATTATCAAAGAAGTAAAATTTCACTTTCTACTGCTTCTGGCTGCAATTACCGTGAATAGTGAGTGGCGTCGACGGCTACGGCGTGAAGACAAGGGAACGCGTAGGGGAGCAGATTGAACGCTGATGCCAATATGGCTGAAAATGGGCACGACGGAGCGAAGAACATGACTATCATGCACCAATTGTCGGTGACAACCGTCTTTCGTGATTTTAGCAATGCTGAAAACTCGGTGGCGTTCAGGATGTGTACCGTACTGTTCCAGTGGTCGTCACACCGGCGCCGCTTCAGCGGCATGCAGTCATGCACGATGCATTTGTCGAGAGACGAGGACGTCACAGTTTCGGTAGTCGACTCCTCTAAGTTCGTATTCTTGCTGCTAATGTTGCTCAGGACGATCGAAAGGAACTGTTGCGACTGGTCACCAACGAAACATTGGTCTGAGCTTTCCTGCTGGACAATGTGACACGTGGACAGGCAAAACAAGAACGAAACGATTGCACACCGCATATCGTTGCTACCCTTCCTCATCAATGACGAATACGTGTCCCTGTCGTTCCGTTACAACCCAAAATCCAGACGGCCACAAATATACCAAAAACTAAAAATACGGAAAGATCACAACTACCATACGAAAAACATGATAAGTAAACCAGAGAGGCAGCCACGCACTATTTAAACAAAAACTTCTCGTCGCTCCTTCACAGTAAAAGGAACGGTATAAAATATTGAAATATAACATTTAGCAGTCTGCAGAATCAATGTGCAGCAATCAGAAATTTTAACCTGTTACAGGACACGCTTCTGTAAAACGTCATCTGTTGAGGTGATACAGAATACCGAACATCATTCGAAGGAGGAATAATTATTACTACCAAAAATTATTAGTACAAACTAATGGGTCGTATCCTAAGCCACAGCATTCTCCATTATATTTGCTGCATGAAAGCAGAATAACAGTACCGACTTCTGAAACACAGTTGGTCGACGATTAAGGTTATTCTACAGCAAATAAAATGATGGGAGATACATGCAAGCACGCAGGGACTTCGAGTAGTTATGCGGTAACACAATGCGTATTTTACATCAATGTATGTAATGGCAGTACACATACAGCGGACAGTGCATGCAATATGTACGCTCAGGGTACTATACAGTAGCAACAGCATAGAGCTCGACCTCTAGAAGAAATTAATAAAGTATCCACAATTACATTTCCTGTATGTCGAAGCATCTTTTAAAGCTGTTAAGGCAAGAGTACATCTAACGCATAAGGGCCATCACAAAGCGACCATGAGTACTGAACCATTCCTTCGAATACAGTAATGTCTATAAAACAGCTTAAGTTTTCAGTAATTTTCAGTAAAGATGAATAGATTTTAACTGTTAAGTAAGAATTTCCGGCAAAAACCTGGTAACAACTTTTCTCATCCCTCCATTCTGAAGGTCTGGTACTCTGTTAACATTGTGGAAGCAAGAGTCTTATCGAATTCCTCCCCCCCCCCACGAAATCAGTAAATACCACGGACCCGATTCCAGACTGGAAAGACATTAAACGTATAATGTCTACTGCAACCATATTATGCTCGGTACGCCTATTAATCTGCGACTCGCCGAAGAGAGTTCCCCTTGTGAATCATTTTTCTGACATCGTGATCGAGTGTGCACAAAGTCGCAAGTAAAGTCCCCCGATCTAAAGAAGCAGAAGGCATTTCAGCCCGGCGTGTTCTGGTAGTTGTCAAATCTCCCTTCATTTGCCATAAAAGGTACCTCATTTCCGTTATAAAACATTTCCTAAAATATCGAGGATTAACAACATAAGGTAGCACTTTAGTACAGTACGAACCACCGTGAGTATATGTACAATGAACTGCTACTACATCTTTAAAGAATAACCATGTCAACAGTAACCATGTATCCATGGGTACACCGTCATGTATGGTTATAACCGTTTCTACATAAGGATTATCGAACTGTAGTATTTCGTCTCCATTTCCAAAAGTGGCAGTATCCAGCCACAGATGAGTAGGAGGATCACCCTAACCTCGAATGCTTTTGGAAACTTGTTCAATATTTTTGGTATGAAAGGAATTACTCTTCCCATGAATATCCGTCAGCACCTTGCCTCTACCAGATCAGAGTTGCTGCATGTCATGGAGACAACTGTTTTAATACAGGAACAAGAACGACTGAGGACTTATACAATATCGTTCACATTGACGCATAAAGGCAATAAAGTGACAGGGTCATGTACGGAATGACTATTCCTTTCCTCATACAGGAAACCTCAGTAAATGTTGAAATTACGACAAGAAAGTTAACTTCGTTAGACATGCTGGTTGCGCGTGCACCATTTGATCTAACCTATGAGCTGCTTGTGAGAGAGCGAAACACGGTAGATCATGATCAAGAGACATGTATGTAACGCAAAAGAACAAGGCAGAGGCAGATCTGATTTCTGACAAATACTTCTTCTCTTACGATGCAGTAATCGGTGCCTTATAGCAATAGTATTTAAAGACGGCAAATATATAAGGCATCACCAAACCAGAGACATTCTGGTCCGTTGATGCAAACGGCTCAACGTGATTATGCCTACAAACGTGCAACACATCTGACAGATAATCGAGAACAACGGATTAACAGCGAACAGAAGTAAATATGTCACGTTATGTGAAAGGAGATGCACGTAAAAAGAATAAACCAAATAACCATAAAGCAAATGTCATTTAAAGTAGAAAATATCGAGACAGCTCTAATCAAATTCACATTTGAGAACAACAGTAGGTAGTGTGACTCTTAGGTTGCATTGTTGCGGGAGGTTCCTAATAACACACCTTCGTGTTAAGTTTGATGCCATTCATATAGGACGTGACACATATCAGATACAATACGACGTAGTTGCATCTTTCTGATAATACACAGCAGAGTTGTACTGCCTAAAGGGCATCGAGATGTACGACATTTACAGATTTTTTAATCGCTATACCAACGATCCGAAACAGTAATTATCAACACAAATAAAGGGAAAGACTGTCCAGGAGAAGCAAAATTAAACTAATTGTGGCTGAGCAGAATAAGACGGAGCAAGATGCAACACTTGTGAATGCCTTCAAAACAATCTGTTCATGGTGAAACAAATAAATGTTTTATGTGAATGCATTGTGAATAAATGCAACCAAAGTGAAAATATCAAATGATTCAAACCGAACGGATCTAAACAGTTTTTTGTACAAAAAAGAATACAGCAAACATACAGCAGATTTTCGGCACTAAGGGTCAGGTTGCTTCATGCAGGCCTCAGAGACGCTCAGAAAAGATCATTTTTTATTGCTCAGAATATGATATTTCTCCAAGACATTATCAGATTGATGCAGTTTGGCTTTAGAAGCATTGAAACAGGGTATCACTAAGAACAGTACCACAAATTTTACCTTGAATACAATAGTTGGAAAAGAAGCCAAATGAATAAATAACGAAATTCAAGAACGAAAGTAATGTGTAAAAAATAAGCAATGGAGCAAACCTGTGAGACTACATTATTTCCAAGTCAGTTAACACAAAGAATTG